TAATCTTCAGTCGCACATATGTATCAGATTTTTTTTATTCTTATTTTTTTAAATAGAAACTCGTGGTGAAGCGTGATAAATGATTATCGTACAGCTAAATAAAGCTGAGACCTACATAAATCAAAAGAAATAAATGCGTTTGGTTGAAATCATGTTTACAAATGTTTTATTTTTCTTTTACACAGTTTCTTCATTAGACTATTTGTTCTAAATAATATCTTTAGATTTTCTATAGCGGCCCGAATTTCTATGTGTTTCATTAATCACTTGTGAGGGTTCGTGTCTCTTATCGTGAAAATATTAAACTTTTATCGAGTTTGGCTTAGAACGTAGACCTTTTATAGATATAAATAACTAAAATATTGGATACATGTCATAAATTATTAGAGACTTAAACTAAATATTAAAAAAATGCATGTAAAATGATAAAACAATAAAAAAACTGTAACTCTATGCATTAATAAAAAAAATTATGATAATTTAGAGGAAAATATATATATATATATATATTTCAAATTATTATATTATTCAATAGTCGATACGTCTTTAAATGTTAAGAATAATTTAATTTCAAATGAATTAAAATTCGATAGAATGTTTTCTGGTTTATAATCGATAAATGCAATGAAATAAATTCAATTCAAATTCAGTCGATTTTCTCCAGTTAAAATATATTTATGTATAACCGGTTATAATACATATTTTTGCCAAAAAATGAAGATAAAAAATAAATTTTATATCTAAAGACAAACGTGTTTAAGAGGTTAAAACAGTCTTTACGCATCTATTCGCACCATAAATTAAATTACTCGAATAATATTTTGTTTGGAATTTTGTTTTAAGCACGCAGAATTCTTCCATTAGTCATGCGATTTTTTTTAAAACTAAATTATAGTTATGCAGGTAGTAGAAATTACTTGTTTTTCACACGCACAAGAATGCATTAGTTCGAAGAAAAAGTTCTACGAGAGTTGGGAAGATTGTAGTGCTGTAATTCCCTGTTTTTTGGGGGGGTGTGAAAATAAACAGATGATTGATTGACTGATGCCCATAAACGAATGCCAAAACAAAGACAATTTTCCGAATGCACGCACACAAAAATGGTTCGAAAACACTTCAATTCAGTAAAATTCGACCTTTGAAGTTATGTCTACGCGTGTTCTCGGATTTAAAAACATTGTATAAATATTAATATAATAAATTATAAAATTCGTAATAAAGATATTCTATAGTTTCGTTTATAACCACGATTTTATTATTGGTAACCAGGTTCAAAAAGTACCATTCTCACTCGATATAAAGCCCAGGAAGATCATAAACTTGTCGAGAAATGATGTTTTATACATCTTAACCCTATTGCAGATTTCGTTGTATAAGGTGTTGCGTGCTCAATGCTACAACAGTTTGCGAAGATGCTACTACACCTACATGACTTTTATACGATTTCGTGACAAGAAATACAGATTGTGCCTGTTCGAGTCGATATTTATCCGATAAGAACAGTGAAAATTGGATCGCAACTCCTGTATACTGCCTACACTTATAACACAAGCCTGAATAATAAAAATTATGCCTCATATAAATTAAATTTGCTTTCCTTTATTTTTTAAACGGATTTACAAAAGTTTAAAACTTTTTCTTTATAATAAAAAAATAACTTATATATAAAATAAAGTTAAGAAACGAAAAAGACTCCTTTTATAAATTATTATAATAAAATCATATAAAACTTTTCGATTCTCGATTGTTTACTTTCTTTTATAAACACGACAGTGGGGTGTGACTTAACAAACGTGCAATACAAAAAACCAGCCATTCACAACTTTAAAAAAGCCTGTAGATTGGGAACAACTGACAATGTGACTGGAGAACATTTTCAAGAGTCGTTACTGGATGTCACCAATGACACACCTCGTTTAAATGTTCATAATAAGTATTTTCTAGGCTATACGTCAAACCGAAAATAAAAAATAAAATAAACTTTGAAAATGTTCAATTTTTACATTCTTATTATTTATTCCTCTTATATTTTTTTCGCTGTTAAAAACGAATATAACTTTTTTTTCACAATATGCGAATGTATACTGGTAATGAGGTCCTTGGCGACGTCAAATTAAGCAAGATACAAGCATCCCAGCGATGTTACATCGTTAATTTACAAAGAATTATATCGTTAAGTATCATTTATCTATGCAATCTATGGTGTCCGAATCGGTGGTTAAAGTAGGGTAGACTAATAGCTTAATATATGGAGTGAGGATATAATAAAAACAAAAGAGAGATATATCTAAACATTTATATTCCGTAAAGGTTCAGGCCAATCTGACATCAGGCACGTCTGGTTGCTAAGCAACAGCAGGTACAGTATTGTAACAAAACGCAGGTGTGCATGGCGTTTGTATGTATGTGGATGTTTTGATGTTGATGATTTAATTTTTCAGTTTAATTAGATAATTCACGAAATTTGGCTTCATAATCAAATTACGTAGTAACAATAGTTCGCGTTACTTTTGAAAATTAAATTATTTTTTAGTGTTTATAACACTATACAATTCAACTGTACAGAAGATCAAAATTTAAAGATATTTATTGTAAATTTACTACAATGCAAAATTTAAAAAGAGACAAGAGTCAAAAATAATCTTGTATTTAACGCATTCATAATAGTTACTCGTTAATTTAACTGAAATTTTACAGTCAATTTCCATTATTAGTAAGAGTAATTAAAAGCGAAAAATTTACAAAAACCGTGTTAATAATTAAATTTTCCAGACTTACCTCCCTCTCTGTACCGTTTAGGGACTTTTAAGTAACGAAAAAATATATGAAGTTACGAAAAGAACACGTGTAAAGCTACTTTTCTATCGAATCCCCTTCAGTGATTTTCAAAATGGCGAGTCAAAGATGAAAGGAGATGTCAAGATCATAAGAGATGTCCAGCCTACAATTTTTTCCCATCCTTTCTTTTATGCAATCCTACAAAAATATACGAATAACTGTTAAATACATCTGTTATACCCGCAATAAATTGACTTTTATAAGATATCAATACCTTTGAGTGATTCACTTTTATATAAATGTTCCAATAGCATAACATTAATATTTAAATATTTTGTAATATTAAATAAATTTTTAAAATATAATTTATTTTGGTTGTTTATTTCCCATTAATATTTATTTCTTTTAATCAAAAAGAATCAAAGATTTGACTTAGAAATATTTCTGTTTTTCCTTTAGAATTTTTCTACAATTTAATTAATTATGAATTATTTTCGTTGAGGAACATTCATCTTAAATATTTTATTATTTAAACAGAAAATAGATATATTTCAGGCAGGAAGAAAAAAATTCTAACTTGAATATAGTAAGAGATGCTTGAAAATTCTTTCCATTTTTTACAATCTTGTTAAGAGAAACAGCTCTCTTTTCAGTAATAAGTTATTTTTTATGGAGAACAAGTATATGTATGCTGCTCTTGGCTATACAAACCAAAGAATAAGTTACATAAGTTATTTTACTCTTCTTCTATCTGTTGTATTGATCTAACTAATTCTTCATTCTATGTGAGAATTGTTTTCTAATAAATAAAACAAGATAAAGATACTATACTACACAATGTTACAAATTAGAATTAATAAATAGATAAGGAACGGTAATTTCTCAGATTATAATAAAGGTACCTATTAAAATACGATCGTCCATGTTCTTTGTATTTTTAAATATAAGATTAACTTGTGTCTTTCTATATTTCTTCTTAAAAATGTCATCAATTACTTATATTTAATACTGTTCAATAGCTCAAGCTGTCGTGTTTTCCTTCAAAAAATTATAATTTTAACAAATAATCTATCGTTAAACGTAAAAATAAGAATTTTTTAAAAGATTTTACAAAAGAAAAACATAATAATATAATTATTTTTGTTAAATAAACAACGTGTTTACCAATACACGAAATAAAATGGATGAGTTCATTAAGAATAATTATTTTTATTTTGATAAAAAAAGAAGATTCTTCGTGACCAATACTTAATTATTGTTACTTGAACTATATATATTGTTAGATAAGTAACACGCAAAATATAGATCTGCTTATTATTTGAGTTATATTTCATCAAACCCATTAAGTAAACTGAAGTCATGATGAACACGCATCACGGATCTACAGTATGATCACGCGTAACGCTTGATCAGTCACATCAAACATAAATCTATCTTTGTTCTTTCGTTCAGAATACAGGAACTATCAAGTTATAGCTAGATTACAATCACTTAAAGTCAAAATGGATAACAATCTGGCGTCAAAACTAGAGAAATTCGCTGTAAATACGAGAAAATCTTAAATAACTTAATAAAAAAAATTAAAAAGAACGTAAAAGTTCGGCATTACCAGTTCATAATTCACGTAAATGGAGTAACGCACGTAAAACTCCCACGCCCGCGTATTTATTCTCATTAAAATACTTTTATTTTAGGTCAGTACGTCAACGTTAAAATCGTAAAATAAATAATTGAAATTGTTTAATGATTTTTCTCGGTTATCATGGAAAATTCCTACTCGAAGCCGATAATGTTGTTTGCGTAATTTCAATTTTCACGAATCTAGAAACGACACAGACAAATTTATTCTAGTAAATATTGAGTTCTCAAGAGAACAGATCATAATTAACTTAGTCTTTAACGACAATGGCTTTAAAATTCAATGAATTTAATCAGCGTCTAGTTAAGCAATAGCATATTGGTAAATTGTGATAATATATCACAAGCGGAATATAAAAAAGAAGAGATGGAAAAATAAAATAAGCAAACACTTCCGAGAATCGGTAAGGTAGAGGAGGGAAGACGAGGGATTTGGACGGCACCTATCGTCTTTCTTTTAACTCGGGTACGGTACATCCACGCATTGTTTGCGGTTTGAGTGTTAGCGCCTGCGTCTTTCGTAATTTAGTTACGTATGACGCAGGCGCTAACGCATAGATCGCGTAGGCTCGACGATTAAAAAGCACTTTCGGTAGGTAGACGGAAGAGAGATTGCCTGCGCAGACGCAAACAGATCACATCTCAAGCTTACTATTAGATCGCCGTAAAGGGTCGAGAGAAGAACTCCAACGTTGTCCACAAAAATGGCAAAATCTACTTCTTACAACACACACCTGATATTACTTTTGTTGTGCGTCGGTTGGAGTCATTGCGCCTATTTGATTGACTTTTCGCGGATCTTCCAACACAATTCGGCTAATGTTAAACGTGAAGGTAAGTTTTCTAGTACTAGATACTTTTAAAAAAACTATCTTACGTTAGTTATATATTAAATTATTTTAATTCCGTAGTTTTAAGTATGTTGAAAGCGTGTAAAATTGGCATTTACCTAAGTGCGTTTGACAAGACGTATCAGTTAAATTAACGCACCACTTAAAAATTTATATGCTAGATACATGCAAGTTTATCAGAGCTTTAAATTTTTAAATTCGTTGTAAGCTACGACAGACTGATAAATTCTGAAGGGAAAAAAAACGCAATTCTTTTATCTGATCTTTTTTCTTTTTATATTTTACGACCGTTTTTAATCGAATTTCTTTTCTTAACAGCTTAATGTATAAGTATATGAAGTAATAAAATAATCATATATGAACGATTGCCTATCTGTTGCTGTATAAAATACCTGTTGGCAAAACTCGGACTCGTGCCAAGTATAGTAAGAAAGATCATTTCGCATGTACGCCTATACAGTATTTCTCTCCCTGTAGATCAGAATGTTTGCCTAGTTTAACATAAATCAAGTATTTGTGATCCGTGCGTGTTTAATGTTATGTGTTCGGTTAGATGATTATTTGAAGATCGTTGCGTGCATCCTAAACAATCAAACTTTGCAATAATTTATGAAACGTTAAATTTATTAAATTAAAAATAATTAAACTTAGATGGATAAAGTAGAAAATCTACTTAATTTTATATAAATTATTGCTTATTAGCTAAATAAATTAAGAAAATGATTGAAGGCTTCGTAAATTTCCGCTTCTGCTAATTTGCATGAATTTATTTTATCACATTCGATCTATATTCGACTCTTCGATAATTAATTTTATTCAAAAATATAATACTTGATTTATGTAATAGTCTAATTCATCTCGTCTAAACGACATTAAAATTTATAAGCTACATTTAAATAAATACAGATAAAAGGTAGATGTTGATCTAATTTAATTTTCTAGTAGCCTTGACCTTTTTAAGCGATTCAACTATTTTTTTTTTATTTTATTTCTTTTTATTTCTTAAATTTCAGATTGCTTCGTCGAATTACATCGAAGCGATCTTCGCTTAGATAATTCGGTGCTTTAAAATTCACTCGGCATTACAATCTCTACGAAATTCTTATTATTTGAATGGCTGTTCCAAGCTTCTTAAAATTTTCAGGGATTAAATCTAAAGCTAACTATTCTATTTTTAATGTTTAATTTCGAACAATAGGTTCTAATTCTCTAGGTGTGTCTATAGAAAAGAAAGCAACTATCCTAGAAGCTCAGAATTACTTTTATCTTCCCTGCGGACGGAAAAAAATAAAAAAAAACAACAATTCATATAATTGAATGGACTATAAAAACTCTTTTCCTATCCGAGTCTGATGAGAAAATAATTAAATGGAAACAAGAACGGTTATTAATTGATGAAATAATCTTTAAAAATTGTTTTTCTCGTAAGAAAATAACGAAGAAACGTAATAGAAAAAGTAGCGATATAAACATTTAACATGGTCGAAAATTTTTTCCTACATCTTCAATTCTTTTGTGCAGTTTCTTGTTACGTTTTAATTCGCTTGGTGAAAAACTACAAGTCTTTCTTCGATCTATCGATAAACGCCTAAAACATCTTCCACTTCAATAAATATATCAAATGATTCAATCAAAGTTGGCAATGAACTAATGGCGGCAAGATGAATAGAATTCGTTATTCGCCAGTCTGTTTACCTATCTCCCTTCCTTATATTTCAGTCATTTTAGTGAAGAAATTTTACTTTTTAATGCTCGATAACTTATCATTTCTAGTACGAAAATACAAAAGAATAGAAGATATCAATTCTGAAAGCTATATTCATATACATATTTAACTGCTTACAATACCAAAGTTTTATTTAAAAAGACTATTGATTAGATAAAAATTTATTATTTTGCTTTTAGGAGCTTATACAAATTCAAAAATAACGCCTCCTCAGTATTGAAAGCACGAAGGGCGGTGATTTTACTACCCGAAGCATGAAAGAAACGCCTACAATATCGGAAAGGATGGGAAAGACCCATGACGTCACGGATAAGTAAAGTATAAGCATTTAAGTGACGTCACTCTTGATTTACAGTATATATTTTTCACTTGGAAATATTTCCATTTTATTTATGAAAACTTAGAGAATTTCTTTCTACAGTTTCATGTCCTTTTTACAATTGTCAACATTAAGTACTACATTTAATTAATGGTATTAAATACTATTTAAACTTTGATATAATTCGAAATATTTTATAAAATTATCTAATAATAATCTATATCTTTTATACTTAAAATTACATTTAAGTATTTCAGAATCTTCCATTAAAGTTTTATCCATTTATATAACAAGTCCATTTATAAAATGATTCATTTTTCTCTGAAGCTTTCGTACATTACATTGATTAAAATGAAACCGTCCAATAATTTCCATTAGAAACTTTGTTTTTAGACAAAGTGTTTATGCATATCATTTACTGAAATATTAAAATACTAAAGAAACTCAGTTATAAAAAATATGAAAGAATTAAATTAATTTATGTATCCAAATATACTTTTATCAAGGATTTTGTTAAATAATTGAATGTAGTTAGTATAATTTATACACACAAATTATTACTTTTAGTAAAAATTCCATTAAAATTTGGCATTAGATTGAAAATATATTTTGTTTTACCATAGTTCTTGATGTTTTTTACTGATAAAAACAATAAAAGTAATGTTATCACTAGTTGGTATTTTCTTACCTTAGCTTCTTTGTGTCCAGTGGATAACGAGTAGAGTGACCACATATCTCACTAGGGAGCAATTAAAGAGGTTATACATAGCTTATCTATCTCTGATGCGGTTTGTTCTTCTAACAAAACAACAAAAGAAAAAAAAATTCTAGGATCGATGTACTGTACTGTACCTCAGAAGTAACTGCAGTAGGTAGATAGCATCATTCCCATTTGTAAATGGGACATTTTACTTGCGGATACGATTTTCTTTCCAAATCATGTAGAGAATCTCAAGTATTTCTACTATGTCTCGTTTTATTTCACATATAAAACAGATAACCTCAATAATTTTACATTAACCTACATGCTTTGAATGATGATTACAATTTATCTAAATTATAATTAAATGTGAGGATTAAAGTCTTGTTTAGAAAAGAAGAAAAATGAATTAAACATTACATAAACTTTCTGTTTCGAAACATTTCTCTTTACATAATTAATAAACATTTTTGAGGTATTTTTCACAAAAAAAATTGTCCATTCTGAAATCTTCCTTAATTAATTAGCTTCATAACCTGAGAAAAAGTTCTAAGACTTAAATCTCTAGAGAAATTCTAGAAAATTCACTAAAATTTTAAAATTTATACCGTTGTAGTTAAAAAAAGAAAAAAAAACAAATTAAATGCGGTTCCTTTGATATCGAGATGTCTAGAATTAATATTTTAAAGCCTTAACTCTTCATTTGTTATCTTAAATCCAACATGAAAAGCCGAAGAGATTATTAGGATTAATTTTAATAAATGGATTTCCAGAATTATGGAAGGCAATTGCTAACAAAGGGTTTATACACAGACCCCGCCCCTTAGTTCATTGTCTGTTTAATATATTTGTAAGAGTCGCGCCTGTAATGGGTGTTTCCCTGTATTATTCAGAAGCTATGTGGAAAAAGCTGACACAAGTTGCATTTATTTCTAACAGAAATAATAATTAGCTTAAGCCTATATTATTTGAATATTATAAAAATAAGAGTATTTAATTTAATTTAATTTAATGTTATTTAAAACTTAAAAATACGGATTTATATATATATTTTTATATTATTTCGTTTTTCTAAAAAATCTCAAAAAATGTTTTGATCTGAAATGCTCTTTCCCAAAAATATTATTCAAAGATAAATTTTTAGTATTAAGAGATTTGAAACTTGAAATCTGTTTATTTCATAAACGAATAAATTTACATGTTTATTTGCATTGAAGTAGGTATTTGATGTATGGAAAAGGCTTTATTGCATGAATAACCTCTTCTAGAAAAATAAGAAGATGAGGAAAAAATATTTACACAAAAATGTTTATATTGTCAGAAATGCAAATGTTTATTAGCAAGACAGAAAATTAAACACAAGAATTTGTGAAGCAAAGAACATTTTTAAAGTAATATAATTATATTAATGAATAAAAGCAAAAATAGAGACTTCTCAATTTGTTATAGTTAATTATAATGTACATAATTTATTTTCTTTAATTTAATTAAAGTTTATTGTAAACAGTTATTTTCACTTAACTCAATTAAATTTATTTATATTTAATTTTAAAATATAAATTTTTTATATAACGTAGGTACATTTTAAATGAATTTTTTAAGTTTCCTTATGTTATATAAGTGCAGGTATTATATTAATTTCCATATAAAATTTGGTTATTAACTAAAAAGTTAAAATATTATTATAAACTAAACTCTTTTTTTTAATATTTATTTAAAATATAATTTATATATGGGAATAATTAAGAAGAATTTTAAGTAATCTTCTATAATTTTGCTTTAAAAGTTTACGTAAGTTAAAATTGTAATGCTTTAAAAATAAATATGATATGAAAATTTTATTCTCAAATTTAAAATGCTTATAAAGTAATGTTGTTGTGTATGAAAATTTAAATATATAAATATTTCAAAAGAATATTTTTTTATTTAAACAATACATAGATCTATAAAAAAAAATAATAATAAAAAGTTCACATCTCAAAATTTTAAAATAAAATACAGTTATATATGAGCTTAATACATGTTTAAAATATGAAAAAATTCTGAAAATTTACATAAAAAATTTAAAGAAAAGTTTTAATAGAAATCCTATGGAAATATTTATATTTATATATAGTTTTTAACATTTATTGAATTTAAAATTAGATTATTTCAAACAAATAAATAATATTCAAGTAAAAAAAAACTCATCAAAATAAATTAAAATCCTCAGAGAATTTAAGATTTCATCATCCTATA